TAAAATAGTATCTCTAACAAGAATTGCTTTTTCTTTTTGTCCAGTAAAAAATTTAAGTCGACGTGCAAGTTCTTCTAAAATCAGTGTCATAAAACCAAGTGTTGAATATTTGGAGACACTTAAAAAATGTGTTACTTTATTGAAAAGAGAAAGAATTTCAATAAGCTTTTCTAATAATTCAAATTCTTTTAATGTAAGCATTGCAGAATTAAAAGCTTTGACTTCTTTTCTAACCTCTTGAATAGTATGATTGTTAAGAGTTAAATGAAGTTGCATAATTGCCGATCTTAAATGTATCAATCGTTCGATCACATAAAAAGTTGAATTCCACTATATATCTATATCTTTAATAATATCTAATGGTTCTTTAAGTCCTGATGTAACTTGTAGTTGAGCTTTACGAAGTTGTTTTCTTTTTTTTTCTCTTGACAATATAGAAATAAGTATTCTACATTTTGAAAGAAGTTCTTGAATATTTTTAGATCTAAATTTATACTCAATTGAAGAGTATGACTGGCATACATTACATTCGTAATACCTATTTGTTGTATGGCTGCTTTAACGTTTGTACCATTATCTGTTGTAATTGAAAAAACCTTTTTATTATCAATAATAAATTTTTTCAATGTTAAATTAATAAATTCGACAATATCAAATGTATAATGCTCATTAAGTTCTCCAATATTAAGTATAGTTTTATATAACTCGAAAGTATCTGTAAGCCAATGACAAGTAATTCCAAGATAACTATCATGTACTCGTGATGTTCAAATATCCAAAGTTAATGAAATAGTATCTGATGTTGTTGTCGTCACCGGCGAGTCTGTCGCTAAAATAGTGCACTCTTCACGTGACGATAATCCGAACGCTTGGATTATGGCACTAAAATAAGGTAAGGCTTTAACTCCGAGGCAGTTACAATTTGGCCGACTTTCGCGCACTTGCTAATCTCTTCTTGACCGTCTTTTCCTCTAGGCGCATCTCAAAATTACAAGTGTCACTCTCTTACGGTGCAAAAGTAACGTCGCGTCTCTCCTTTTCAAAGACGGTTTACTTTACAATAGTGGTGCGAACTTAGTTTATACTTTAAGGAATGTATCTTGTTTATTGTGCGAAGCGACGTAGCATTTATTTAATAAAGAGCGAGTGTGCCAAAAACAGAGAAGTGTTCTAAAACGGAACTGATCTAGAACTTAGAACCTGTTTTTCGAAACTAACTCTAAAACTATCCTATTTATATGCCTTGTTGACGCATAAATACCCAGTATATGCTATTACTAATTATTACATCATTCCATCATCACTGTCTCTATTATTTCGCGTCACGCCACAATATCATGTTCTCATCCCTATTGTTCCCATAACAATACGAATTTAAATATAGTTCTGAAAATTGGAATCACATACACTCACATGGACTTGCATATATATAAAAAACATAAGTAAATTATAATCCATCTATTAAATTTATTATAAGAGTTGGAATCGAATGGAATTAAACATAGAATTATTAGGATCTTAAATTTGATAGTATCCAGAGTACAGATCGATCTTACTGAAGTACTTGGCTTCAGCCAATCAATTCATAAGTTCCTCAATCTGGGATAGGGGTATTGATTCTTAATGGTAATCTTGTTAAGAGCATAATAGTCAACACATAGTCTTAACATTTCTTCTTTCTTGTGTACAAAAAGTACAGGGGCACCAAAAGGGGAAATATTTAGTCTGATGAATTCTTTTTCTGATAGCTTGGCCAACTGTTTCTTGAGTTTGTCCATTTTCACATAGGACAAATGGTAGGTGGATCTTAACAGTGGTTCAGCTCCTGGCAACAGATCTATGACATGATCAATTTTTCTTTTGGATGGCAGCTTGTTGGGCAGTTCTGATGGAAAAACATTAGCAAATTCCTTGATAATTGCAGTTTTTTCTGGAAAGAGTTTGGTTTCTTCTGAAGTATTGTCATCAGAAGTGGCATATATGGCATATAGCTCTTCTTCAAGAGGTATTCAGGCAAGTTTATGTCTGGAGATAAAAATAGAATTATACATGGAATTCTTGTTAGCTTAGCTAATATTAATATTGATAATGATGTAGTGTGATCCATTTGGGAAGAATAAGGTATTGGTTCTCCAGTCAATGTTGGGGTTGACTTGGAACAACCAAGGCTTTCCTAAGATAGCATTATATCATTGCAAGTTCAAAACTTGAGCAGAGATCCCAGAGATGTGATATTGGTTCAACTTTAATTTTCTAATCTTTACTTTGATGAAAACTTCTTTTTTTTAGCTATTAATCAGTTTCATGATAAAGGATTTGGTTGGTTCTTTTGATAGTCATCATTGATTAGCAAATTTTTCATCAATAAAATTCTTGAAGGTCTGCTTAAAGATGGGTTTCTAAAGTATTTAGCATATAAAATTTACGTCCCTTTATGTCCATGTCCCCTAGAGGACATAATTTCTAGCTCTTTATTTCAATAGGGATATAATTCCAGAAATGATTTGTATAGATACTTAAAACTATAAAGAACCTTTATAGATAGTTTTTTTTTATTTCTTAATATAGAAATAAAAAATTTTAATAATAAGGGGCATTTGAATTATGTCCTCACAAATAATTTAGGGACCCATCTTTAACTCTACTATTTAATAGGATTCAAGTGATGTGTCTATCAATCTTTCTATTAAAACAGAATAGTTGTTCTTGATTTTCTTCAATGTGAATAAACTCGGCATCTGAGGAAATGGATTGTTCTTCTATTATGGTAACTTTGGCTTTGGTTTTAGCTTTTTTCGATCGGCAGTCTCGGATATAGTGACCTATCTTTTTACAGTTATAATATTTCACTTGTTTCTTCTGGTGCTGGTTGCTAGTTGATGGCTTTCTATAGGCCTCGGTGTGGTCTATTTCCATAGGGATCGGTCTGAATTATTGATTTTTTTCTTGGGGCTGGTATCCTCAGGTGGTAAATTTTTCCATTGGTTGTCCTAGGCCAAACATGGCAATATCATACTGATTCGCAATTTGGATGGCTTTGTCAAGAGTTTCTGAAGACTTGTAACTCACTTCTATCCTAGTTACAGGCTTCAGTCCTTCTACAAAGTAGACAACTCAATTCAATTGATACATGTCATCGATTTGACTTATCAGATTTCTAAATTGGGAGGCATATTCCTGCATGGTTCCTGTTTAAAGCAAGGTTTTAAGTTGTCGGCACAGATATTGTTAATAGTGCAGGGGTTGGAAAGCAGTTCAAAGTTCTTTCTTGAAATGGTCCTATCCAGTAAAAGCAGAGGCAGTGGAATTCTTGATTTTGTTAACAAACCAATGGAGGGCAGCATCCTCAAATCCTGTAGCAGCATAGTGAACCATTTGTCCTTCTTCCTTGATTCCTTGTGCTTATAGAATATTCTTTATTTGACACAGTCAAACTTTCATATTTTCTTCAGGTTCTTCTTTAAACATAGGAATTCTTAAAGATATTTTAGATGCAATAGTGGTAGTGGTTGAAGAACTTGACCCAGCAAGCTGTTTTTCTTTTTCTATTGCAAGAGCTTTCATGATTTCTTGAAAGATCCTTATAAATATTGCAAATTGGATGGTATTTATTTTAACAGAGTTTCACTTGAAGTTTCTTTGCAAAGGAAAAGTTCTTTAAATTTGCTGCTATCAAGTTGTAAAAGTCTTAAATAAATTATTAGTGATTTAAAAAGACAGTAAACTTGAGTGATTATAATTTTAATGACAACAGAGTTGGGACTTTATTAAGGTCAAAAGGGTATCCTTTTATACATATCAACTTTATACAATATAAAAATACATAAATAAAAATAAATAAAAATACATATACAGTATCTATATTGGGCTTAACCTCTGAAGACATATGTATTTAATTAATATAATGAAATAAAAAAGTAAATAAAAAGAAATAAAAGAAAAAACAACAAACTCTTTCCCAAACGCATCAAGTTTCCTTTTTAGGAAGGTACAAAACAAACGTTCGGAAGAAAGATGTCTAACAACA